AACACCACACAAAAAAACATAAATGTTGACTAATGTATTTTAAAATCCATGATATTGCATAATTTGGACAAAAAAATTTTACGTAAAATTGCATGATTTTCCAGAAATTGCATGATCTGTGGGAACCCCCAACCCCCAAAAACTGAGACAAATGTACTAAGGGCTGCTGGGAAGTGTAGTATCACGAAAAGCTGCTATAAAAAGGGACAGAGCGGGAGCAGAAGATCCAGCTGTGTGAAATCTCTTTAGGTAAAGCCAGGGTTTGTGGGGGTTTGTGATTCCACGGCATGTCCACGCCGAGAGATCCGTCACATCCCACATCAAAGCAGGCAGAGTGTGAGTGTGTATCTTGGGTCGGTTCTTCCCAAGCTCCATTGCCAGAGGCCAATCAGGATGGGGGAGGAAGGGGTAAAAAAATGCACAAGGACAGAAGCTGCTGCTCCAGCACATGCATTACAGTAGCCGTTCATATGTATGGAGAGCATACTAGCCATCAAAAACTGCCTTTAGGATAACACCGCTGAGATGAAAGTACAGAAAAAACCTTCAAAGTTTTTTTTTCTGTAAGTTGTAGTGCAATCAGTAGTACTGTATATTTATTTATTTAAATAATAAGCTACTATGCATGCATTAAAAACGACCACTAGCTTGTATATTTTTTCTTCTACAGTCACAGATTGCTAATTGTTGCATATATAAAAAATGACCAATTCTAATTGACAAGTAAGCCAAATTAGTAAAAAACTCCAAAACAAATCCAGAAATTACTCCCAAAATCAAAAAGATACATACGAAAGCCAACACAAATTGGCTTGATGTTCAGCTCCACCATAATATTGTGTGGTATATTTTGGTTTAACAAATATTTGCTCACTCTCTAAACTCTAATTTCGCTTTTTCATAATTTGTTTTGTTGTAAAAACAACCATCAAAGTAAGACAAATTGCAGATAAAAACATTAAAAGTGTTTGTTTTGATATAAATTATATATTTGATTGTGAATACAGAAAAGCAAACTACAGTAAGAAAACCCCTAAATTTGGTTGCTGTGTGGTAAATTTTGGTTTAACAAATAATTGCACACCCAATGTGTGTGAGTTGAAAATTAACTTCCCTTTTTGTCAATTGTTTAGTTGTGAAAAAGCCTTCGTATGGCCACATTCTGAAGAGTGAAAACATGCCTGTCAGATATATATGTCAATATAACAACTCCCAGATTTCATTTGTTTATACTATAAATAATTGTGAAATACATTTGCAATGTTATTTAGATGGGTCAAATGTCTATTTCAAGTCAAGTGTTCATATCAAGTGTTGATATATCTGGTTCGGAATTGGAATATACAGTAAGAAAACCCCTAAATTTGGTTGTTGTTCAGCGGCACCGTATTATACTAAGGTAAATTTTGGTTTAACAAAAAATTGTACACTCAAAGTGTGCGAGTTGAACACTAATTCCCCTTTTCGTCATTTGTTTTGTTGTGAAAAAGCCTTCATGTGGCCACATTCTAAAGAGTGAAAACATGCGAGACTGATTTATATCAAATATAGCATCTCACTGAATTTTGTATTTATATTTCTCCTATAAATATGATTGTTAAATAGATTTCATTCAGACGAGTCAAAATGTCAAGTGAAGTGTTCATATCATGTGTTTATAAATTTGGTTGTAAATCCAGAATTGGAAAATACAGTAAGAAAACCTCACCAAAAGCTACATTTTATAGTGGGGTAAATTTTGGTTTAACAAATATGTGTTTACAAATTTCCTTTTTCATTTGTTTTGTTGTGAAAAAGCCCTCATATGGCCATATTCTGAGGGATGAAAACATGTAAGATTGATATTGGTCAAACATCTCACAGATTATTTATTCCATATTTATCCTATAAATCCTATTGTGAGACATTCGCAACGTCATTTAGACGAGTGAGCCAAATTGCAGATAAAAACATCAAAAGGTTTTCATAGATTTGGTAGTGAATCCAGAATTGGAAAATACAGCAAGAAACCCCTAAATGTGGTTGTTATTCAGCTCCACCATATTATAGTGGAGTATATTTTGGTTTAACAAATATTTCTTCACTCTTTGTAAACACAAATTTCCTTTTTCATTTGTTTTGTTGTGAAAAAGTCCTCATATGGCCACATTGTAAGGGGTGAAACATGTGAGACCGAGATAGGTCAAATATTACATCTCACAGATTATTTCACTTATATTTATACTATAAAATACTATTGTGAAACATTTGCAACATCATTTAGACGAGTGAGCCAAATTGCAGATAAAAACATCAAAGAGTGATGTCATGAATTTGGTTGTAAATCCAGAATTGGAAGGTATAGTAATGTAATGCATTTTTTATGTATTGCCATGTCAGCAATCTTCATGGCAAGAACATTTCAATAATAAATAGACAGTTAAAAACAACAAACAAATGAATACACAAGCTAAATAAGATTTCTAGTATTAATACGTGATAAAAATTCAAAACTCTTTTCTAGTGTCACTTTGCTAAAAAATGTCCTTATGAGAGCTAATTTCATTAAAAAAAAAAAAAAGTCTTCTAGATTCATTAAAGGCAGGACAGTCCAGTAAAATGTGTTTTGCAGTAAGGGAAGTTCTGCAGCACAAACACTGAGTGGGGTTTTCATCTTTAAGTAAAAAGGCGTGGGTTAATCTCGTTTGTCCAATACGACAACTGGTAAAAATCACTTAATCAAATCTAGTCTTAAAATTCTGTTTGAGATTTCAGGTTGGATTTCATGTAATTTATTATTTCCCAATGCACCCCACTCCTCTTGCCACTTATTTAAAATGTAAACGTTGATAAAAGGTCTCGTCTCTGATGGAGGAATTTGGCCTTTGTTCACCACTTGCTTCAAAGCGTCTTTAGCAGCTGCATGTTGGAAGGTGTAGAAGGAAAACCCCTAAATTTGTTTGTTGTTCAGTGCCCCTATTATACTAGGCTAAATTTTGGTTTAACAATGTTTGTTCACTCTTTGTGCCGGCTGAACACTAACTTCCCTTTTAGTCATTTGTTTTGTTGTGAAAAAGCCTTCAAATGGCCACATTCTGAAGGGTAAATACACGCGAGACTGATATATTTTAAAAATAACATCTCAGAGATTATTTCATTTATATTTATCCTATAAAATACTATTTTGAAATACATCTACCACCAATTTAGATAAGTCAAAAAGCCTGAATCAAGTCAAGTGTTCATATCAAGTGTTCATCTATTTGGTTGTGAATCCAGAATAGGAAAATACAGTAAGAAAACACCTAAATTTGGTTGTTCACCACCAGCTATCAATCATACTGAGGTTGTTTACTCTTTGTTTGGCCAAGCCACTCATTCCCCTTCTGATATTTGTTTTGTTTTTGACAAGGTATTCATATTGCCACACACTGAAGAATTTGTGAACATTCAGACAAAGTAACTCACAGGTCGAAGGTCAAAAACGTAACATTCTCAAAGACTTTTAAGTGAGATGAAACTAGTGCTCCAACTTTGCAATAATCCAATTGAAGACGAAGAAGTGAAAAGAAAGGGGATGGAGAACAGATTATACAATTCATTGAAATCCAGGACCCCCATCACCCCATTCAACTGATTAAAAGGAGGCCGAGATAAGCGGAACTACTTGAAACGTCCCCGGCGCGAGGGGAAATCATTTCAAAAGGAGGAAATGCCTAGGTTTGTCTTAATTCCCAATTCGCCATTTCATATGAATGGTAAAATATTACGACTTCAAAGCCGCAGGCGCCACAGACAATGCAGCCCTAGTGTTTACCTGGAAACATTATCTGCTGACCCCAAGTTAGTCATCTCAAAGGAGCCCTGGATGCCATTTCCAGATGTCGCTCATCAGATTAGAGCAACATGCAAAGCCTTTCACGGATCACCAAGCACCGTGATGCCAATTGGAAAACACTGTACGTACATTTGGAGTTTCAGCAGGTAGAAACACCACAACTGACTCAAAATAAATACAAATCTGCTGACCACCAAAAAAACTGCTTCATGACTGGGTGGGAGCTCAGGCAATGGAATGTCATGGCCAATGGAAATCAATCCAAACTTCAGGGGAATGAACAAGGGGGAGGAAGAAGGGAAAAAAAAGAAAAGATGATGCCTTTGATCTCGCTGAAAACCGATCCCAGACCTTGGAGATACTGTGTCCGAATATTTGAGCCACCGCAAAGTTGAGGAAAGGAGGAGGTTGAGGAAAATGGATCTGGCATGATTGCGGTTTTATTGCACACAGACTTAATATATATATATATATAAATAATAGTGAAATTCAGGTAGGTCGCACTTTCTGCAACACCACTGCAAAACTATTGAACGCAATAAAAAAAAAAAAAAATGCTATTATTTGTGGATTATGCCAATCCTATGCAAGAATCCTCCTTGCTGACCCAAAGACTTTCAAAGTAATCACCTCATAGGGTAAAAAAAAAAACCAAAGCCCGATCGATTCATCCCAAATGCTTTGATCGGGTCAACTGCAGCATCATCTTGTGTTTGGTTTCCGTCAAAAAACCCAGCAACTATAATCGCACGGCCGCAGACTGATAAAGGAGCTGAATTCGGAGCTGTGCAAACAATGGATGAGATGAGCTCAGCGGAGAAAACCCTCTCTCTCGTCGGGCTCACAGACTGCCCGCAGCGGCCGTCTCTTCCAGGCACCAGTCAACTGCCAAACAGGGAGTCTTAACCACACAAAAACTACCAAACAGGATTAGGGTGGACAGCTGCTAGCGTATCCACCATATTTTTTTTTAAAAACCCACCCCCCTTCTCATCCCTCCTGAAGTTCAATACATTCATGCACGAAAAACTATCGAATATAGCTTTAAAAAAAAAAAACGTAGATAGATTTAGGTCACAGAATTAGCCATGGTGTAACGTCATAACCTTGAGCTGCACGCTGTGACGATGACATGAAGTGGTGTAAATAATGGAGAGCGAGGAATGGGGATTTGAAGACTCACCGTTCTGGGAATGGGAGGCGAGAGAGAGCCGTTGTTCATGTAGGGTTCATTGTTCATATTGGTCATCATGATGTATCCGGGATAACTCGGGTACGGGTGGCCTTTGCTGTACAAGTCTTGGAGTTTGCCTGTTAGGATCAAGCAAGATTTGTTTTAATAAAATGTCCTGGGATGTTCTCCAGTCACTCAAATATATAAATATATACTTATTTTTATTTCTTTTTTTAATATTTTCCAAATGTTGTTTAACTGAGCAAAGAAATTTTTACAGTAAGTCTGATAATATTATTTTCTTCTAGAGAAAGTCTTATTTGTTTTATTTGAGCTAGAATAAATAATAGTTTTAATTTTTTAGCCATTTTAAGATCAAAATTATTAACCCCTTTAAGCAATTTTTTCCCGATAGTTTAGAGTACAACCATCTTTATACAATAACTTGCATAATTACCTTAACCTGCCTAGTTAACCTCATTAACCTAGCTAAGCCTTTAAATGTCACTTTAAGCTGTACAGAAATGTCTAGAAAAATATCTAGTAAAATATTATTTACTGTCATCATGACAGAGATGAAATAAATCAGTTATTAGAAATGAGTTATTAAAACTATTATGTTTAGAAAAGTGTTGAAGAAATCTGCTCTCCGTTAAACAGAAATTGGGGAAAAAAATAACCAGGGGGCCTAATAATTCTGGGGGGCTAATAATTCTGACTTCAGCTGTATGCTTAAAACTTACAGAGATACTTAAAGAGATAGAGAAAAAATCTAAAGAAATAGAGAAAGACGCCCAGAATTTTAAATTGTGTGCTCATTTACTTATTTATTTGTCACAAACTAGTTTGAGCTTCTATTGACAAAAATCTTGGAGGATAACTACATCCATAGACTTCTGTAGTATTTGTTTTTCCTATTATAGATGTCAAGAGATCGAATACTTTCAAGATATCTTCCTTTACGTTCGACAGAAAATGGAAACTCATAAAGTTATGAATCTACTTGAGGGTGAATGTTCATTCTTGAAATAAATCTGAAGAATTCGAGCTAAAAGGGAAAGCTGAGGTATTTAAAACAGGGGAGTCGTTTTGAAGCCACTGAAGTGTTTTGCTGAAACATTTGCATCCTAATTCACAGCAAGCGGAGAACAAAGGGAGAGAGACAATCAAGTCACTTCACTGTGACCCCAGCGCCCCGCTTGGCATTAAAAAAAAAAAAGAGAGAGAGAAAGACCCGGGTGCAAACAGAGATCAAATGAACTCCGGGCCATCACAGCAACATGCTGCTCTTGACAATAGCGTCTCAGACGGTGTGTTTGGAGGCCAGCGTGTCAGAGGAAGATGGGGCACTTCCCTGGCACGTGTCAGGACGTGTCGACACCAAACAGACTACTGTGGGCTGTGAAATTTCCTTCGCATGGGATGTTATGATGAATGAATCAAAATGCACAGCTGAAATAACCATATGTGCATTTTATTTACGAAGAAAACACACGAGTTGGTTACTTTACAAGTTTACGTTTAAGCATAATAGCCATGATGTGATTGAATAGAAAAAAAAGGGTTCTGTTGAACACAAAGTAAGTTGTTTTGCAAGAGCTGCATCTATTGACTTCCACAATTTTTGTTTTTCCCACTATGGAAGTCATTAAATCTGACAGTTTTCAAAATATATTCTTTCGTGTTCAACAGAAAAAGGAGACTCAAAATGCACAGCTGAAATAACCATTAAAATGTGCATGCATTTGAATTATGAAAAATAAAGCAAATCTGGAAAAGAAATTAATTGGTTTCTTCACAAGTGCACGTTTCAGCATAATAACCATGATGTGGTCAAATAAAAAAGACATAAAATGCTTCAGTGAATTAAAGTATTTTGTTAAACACAAAGCAAGTTGTTTTAAAAAGATCTGCATCCATTGACTGACATAGTGTTTTTCCTACTATGGAAGTCAATGGATCTGACAGTTTTTCTTTTGTGTCCAACGGAAAAAAGAAACTCAAAATGCACAGCTGAAATTACCATTAAAACATATAATTAAATTATCAAGAAAAAACAGAATGTGCATTTGAATTAGGAAGGAATCACGTGAACTGGTGTCTTCACAGGAGTGTGTTTTAGCATAATAGACATGATGTCATCTTTCAAAATGTGGACATCACCAATTGCTACATGACTACCATTAGTAAAACTTACCTATGACAAGCATAAAACATCTAAAAGATTTCGATCAATTTGGTTTCCCATTTGGAAATAAATAAGAGCTCTCTTAAATGAACACAGGATCCTTATCTTTCATTTACAATTTTTTGTTAAAACCTCCACTTAAAGACGTGATGTGATTTTACTTAATTTTTTACCTATTTATTTATTATTATAATAATTTCTTTGTTACTTTCCATTATGAAGACTGTACACTCTGTAACACATTTATACATTTTCATGTTAATATATTTATCCAATAAAAAAATAATAATAAAGACAATATAATAGACATGATGTGGGTAAATAGAAAAAAAATTGTAAATTAAAGTATTCTGTTGATTCTGTTGAACACAGAAGAACTGCATCCATTGACTTCCACAGTATTTGTTTTTCCTGGAAGTCAATGGAATTAACAGTTTTTAAAATATACATAATATAATATGTTTTGTGTTCAACAATAAAAGAAACCTCAAACTGCACAATGCACAACTGAAATAGCATCTAAAACGTACATGCAATTGAATTATCAAGATAATACATAAAGTGCATTTGAATTAGGAAGAAACACTCTTCTCGGGTGTGTTTTAGCATAATAGACATGATGTGGTCAAATAAACAAAAATAGAATATTTCAGTGAATTAAAATCATCTGTTGAACACAAAGTAAACTGTTTTGAAAAGAGCTGCATCCATTGACTTCCACAGTATTTGTTTTTTTTCTACTATGGAAGTCAATGGATCTGACAGTTTTAAAAATATATCAGTTTGTGTTGATTAGAAAAAGCAAACTTAAAATGCACAACTGAAATAACCATTAGAATCTATGTGCATTTCAACTAAGAAGGAAACACATGAACTGCATGGTTTTGTCACAAGTGTATTTTTTTGCACAGACGTGGTAAAATAGAAAAAAAATGCCTCTGAATTAAAGTATTCTGTTGAACACAAAGTAAGTTGTTAAGAAAAGAGCTGCATCCATTGACTTCCACAGTATTTGTTTTTATACTATGGAAGTCAACAGATCTAATAGATTTTAAAATATATTATTTTGTGTTCAACGGAAAAAGGAAACTCGAAATGCTCAAACTGAATCAAAATGCACAGCTGAAATAGCCATTAAAATGTACCTGCATTTGAATTTTCAAGAAAATGCATAAAGTGCATTTGAACTAAGAAGAAAACACATGAATCTGTGTCTTTACAAGTGTATGTTTTAACATGATGAGGTCAAATAGAAAAAAAACTGTTTCCGTAAATTAAAGGATTCTGTTGAACACAAAGTGGTTTTGAAAAGAGCTGCATCCATTTACTTCCACAGCATTTGTTTTCCTACTATGGAAGTCAATGCAATTACAGTTTTTAAAATATATTGTTTTGTATTCAACGATAAAAGAAACCTCAAACTGCACAATGCACAACCTGAAATAGCCATTAAAACAAACGTGCATTTGATTATGAAGAAAATATAGGAATTGGTTTCTTCATAAGTGTACGTTTAAGCATAATAGACAGGATGCGATTGAATTGAAAAAAAAAATTTAGTCAATTCAAGAATTCTGTTGAACACAAAATGAGTTGTTTTGAAAAGAGCTGCATCCACTGACTTCCACAGTATTTGTTTTTACTATTATGGAATTCAATGGTTCTAACAGTTTTAAAAATGTATTATTTTGTGTACACGAAAACTCAAAATGCTCAAACTGAATCAAAATGCACAGCTGATATAAGAATTAAAACATGGGTGCATTTGAAATGCAATGCATTTGAATTAAGAAGAAAACACTGGAATTGGTTTCTTCACACGTTTTACCATAACAGATGTTGTCAAATAGTGAATTAAAGTATTAATCATCTTGCAGGTTTTTATTTTTGTTAATTTTCACCACAAGCCATAACACTTACCATCATCCGGATGGTCCCTGTGCTTCTCATGGTAAGAGTCTGGTGTTATTTGGGACTGTCTAGCTGCCTGTTCAGAATGCAGGAGAAATATATTAACAGATTGCGTTCATTTTCCTATTAAAATAAAACATGTTTGTTTTTTTTACTTCTTGCAAAATAAAGCAGGCATTCATAGGGAAAAGATAACTGGAATTCATTTACACATTGATTAACTCAATCATTTTCTCCCTGCCGTAGAGTCTGACCACAAATGTGGTGCATCTCGAGGAAGGAAAAAAGAAAGGCTATTCTCGTTCGCTTCGAATTATGAATCAGAAGTGCCGGGAAATAAACTCCATTTGGAGTTCAGCTCCCTCTGGGTGCCTTCCAGCAGAGCGAGGGATCTGCACTGCTTTCCCAATTAACATTCAGCCCATCAGTTTGTTCTTTCTCATGTCAACCTGCAACCCCGCGTGCTGTTGATGCCAGGAGGAAATACATTTCATTAATAAAGCCAAGCATCAGCTCATTTTACTTAAATCTATCAAGTAGAATAAAAGCACACCTAAAGAATTTGAAAACAAACTAAATTGAAAATTACACCAGTGCAGAAATGCTTCACAAAATGCTTCATTTGGATAAATGTTTACTGTTTATTTTGTGTGAAACTGCAATATGTCTTTTATTTATTTATTTAAGATGAAGCAAATTGCTGTCGCAATCATAAATCTAATGTTCTGGTTTTTAAACATATTCAAAGATTTATTAATTTATATTAATTAAACATTGCAGTTTTGTGGCTAAAAGAATAAATCAAAATAAAACAGAGGTAAAAAAATGTCTTGTTTTATCCCGGAAATATTAAATTATTAATTGTAGTGATTATTATTATGCTGCATAATATGTTATGTGTAGCATACATCTGCTTCCTAAATAATTATTAATGATAAATATTTCTAAATAAATGATTAATAGCAACAATGTAAAAGAAAATAGCAAAGCTAAAATATTATATATTGTTATTATTAGCTGAAGTAGCAGTATTGCAATGCTTTATTTGCAATATCTTTAACAGCTCTTCAGTAAATTAACTAAACACAAACATTTTAAATATATATAAAATAAAATAAAAATCTATGATTTATGATTAGCAAAGGAAACAATAAAACCCCCAACACCTTTTTAAAATTAAATAACGAATGTGTGTTAAGAAATAGCAAAACTTTGACTAAACAAAAATAAATTGAAATCTAAAAAAAGCTGCAAGTTCTGTGATCAATAAAGGAAATACCGATCAAAGATGTCCTTTCCCTCCTCTGACATATAAAAAGAACAGGTCCAAATGGGTTTGTTGACTTTAACACGTGTAGCTCTGCCATTTAAACCATCCTCACACACACTCTAACGGAACAGAGGCTAATAAACCATCAACATCGCTCTCAATTCTGAAGACAAATCGTAAGTCCTGAACAGCGGGACGACTGAAGTTTTGACCGGGGTTAAGCAGGAGCTTCACGTGCGTTTGGAGGTGTGCTACTCACGTCGTGACTGTTACTGTTGGGACTGATTTCTGTCTCGTTGACCAGAGATGATTTGATCTCCGCTAAGTCTCCCTCCTCCTCGGAGTGGCTGATCTCCGCGAAGATTTGCTCCTTGTGCGGGTCTCCCTCGTCTTTGAACGGGATCATTTCATCGGTGGCGCAGAGCTCCGGGTCCCCGCCGCCTCCTCCACCTGACAACTGCGGCATTTCTCGGGTGAATGAAAGTCCTCCTCACCCTACAAACGCCAGGGACGCAAACGCGTGCAATTGAAATTAAACCCCCCGTATAGTTGTTTTGTTTCTGGTCAGCTCGCGCACTCCGAACACGCGCGCGTGAGTGTGTTTGGTTTACGGTAACAAGAGCGCGCGCGTCCGGTGGAAAAACTCTCGGGAATCCAGAGGAAGAAAAATAGCGGGTTTGGGGAAAAAGTTAAAATACGAATCCTTTGGTGGAAGGAAAAAGTTGGAACTTAAAGTTCAGAAAAGGACAGTTTCACTTGTTTCAAAATAAAAGCAACAACAACAAAAAAAGAAATGTTGGAGTTCAGATGGTGTGTGTCATTCCCGTTTGGTTTGTTGGGTAAAAAAGGTGTCCCTCTTCAGAAATGAGCTCAGCAGAGACTGAGAGTAATGTTGGGCTGGAGAGAGTGTAGTGCTGTACTCCTCCCCCTGATCTCTGACTGACTACAGAGATGAAAGGGAAGCCGCCGCTTTGATTGACACCTCACGCACGCGCGCGCACGCACATATACATTGACTGACGCTCCTGAGGAAAGTGAAGGGGAATTTTATACATTTCTTCCACCAAATGGACAGAAAGCGTTGAAAGAGGAGGTAGGAAACGGCGAATCTGTTCTCTGACTCATTTTGGGGCAGTTTCAAAACGAAAGGTGTCGTCTGTTTAGCCAATTAGAAAAGATGAACTGGAGCGCAACATAAATATATAGGATTTACAGCACACATGTGAAGTGGTTTGTCTGAACATGTTGATAAACAGAAAACTGCATTCGTCTGGATTATTAATATTATTTAAATTTTAATCATATTTTGTTCAATTTATAGCTACTGAAGCTTTTTGTTAAGTGTATAAATCATGACTGATATACATCAAATTAGGGGAGCTGAAACTATTTTGCATTCAACCAAAATAATGCACAACAATACTTTAATTAAAATGTTTACATTTTAATATAGCCTTTTTACGCCATTATTGCCTTATGTTTTATTTAGTGTTTCAACTGAATTGATATAAATAAATGGTGAAAATGGTTAAAATGCCTAAAGCGTAATTGTTCTTTAAGATAATATACAATTAATAATTATTATTATTTGACGACTAAAATAAAGACAATGTATAAATTTTTTTTTTATTTAATTAGTTTTGCCAGTACCATATAGAATAGCCTAATTAACTTGCTACTTTCTGCAGGAAAAATATCAGATTTACTAAATTAAAAATATCAGAAAAAATCTATTTGAAATTTGTGATGATCACAATTCTGATTTTATATTTTAATGCTGAAAATCTGAGAAAAAAACTCAAACATTAAAATGGTATGCAGTGAGAAAAAAAACCTACTGTACTTATAACCTATGATCTGCATTATTGCAAAGGCTGTCATCAGAGATGCAGAATGTAAATGGAGGAACCCTGTTTAAGGCAGCTGTAGTCTTTAATGGAGGAAGAGATTCCGTTTGAAAAGATCAGGAATGTTGTTTCTTTTTATCACAGTCATCTTATTAAATCCGTTTTCACATGCATATTGCTAGATTTAATAAATGCTCGCAGTTGACCTGAATGCTTCTTTGTTCTCAAGGTAAGCTTAATTTAAATGTTTAAGGTAGGCTACTTAGGCTTATTTATGAAAACATAAACGGCATAATCATTTTTACATTTATTTATCACGTTTTATAGCTTATAGAAATTCATGATTTTTGATTAAATGTTCATATATGACACGTTGATGTCATACAAAAAAATAAGCTTGGACAAAAAAACTACATCAATGAATATTAAAAAATAAACACTAAATAAATATATAGCTAAATAATGTATATGTTGCATAATATACTGAAATTTAACAACTGATTCGCAACTGGGAACTCTCACAGAGTGCATTAAAAACCCGAATTGTTTTATTATTATTAATTGCAAACACAAATTAAATTAATTTAACCATTTTACTCAAATTATCATATTAAATATTTTATGATTTTTTTTTACGATAGCATCTACAAAACGCGCTCGCACGATTTAAATACACAGATAAATAGAAGGAGCCCTCCCTCGGCGTAGCAGAAAACAAGAAGGGGGAAGAAAAACATTGGGAAGTGTTTCTGCGGCTTGCGTGAGAATAAGTTTGGAGTAGGAGGCAGATCTTTATAAAGCAGGCGGAGGTGGGGTCAGTGGGCGGAGCCGTGGCTGCCTTTGATCTGGCGGCGGCGGCCTCTTTCATCCCCAGTCTTTGTATGACCATATTTGGTGCGAGCATGGAGACGGGCCAACATTTCCACGCGCGCCTTCATCCCAGCTGAGAGGGAAAGCGACGGTTCTCTTCCGGGTAAAGGAGACACAGCGAGAAAGATCAAAGGCTTTGGATTTGGAACCCGAATGTGGATTCAGGAGAGAGAGAGAGAGAGAGAGAGAGGAAGAGAGAGAGAGAGACGGGAAAAGAGAGAGAGACGGGACTGGCCGCATTCCAGAGTGTAGCGGAAAACTGAGCCTCTCACACACACACACACACACACACACACACACACACACACACACACACACACACACACACACACACACACACACACACTGAGACTGGCTCCTGGGATAACAATCGGACCTTTCAATTTTAAAAAGAAATATATGCATGGCAGGACAGATGTGTTGTTATTGTAAACTGCAAGGATTTATTTTAATGCGCGGTTATTTAAAGGCTCCATATGAAACGCATTAAGGCCTGTAATGCCATAGCTCATGAGCCGGCAAAACATTTATTATTTTAAAATAACATATTCTGGACAATTATTAAAAGCCTATCTACATTGTCAAGAATTTTAATTTAGTTCAGTAAATTAAATACAAAATAAGAAAATAGTGTGTTAGTAGCAGGAAATAAAGGCACTACAGAGTAATTCTAGCCTACATTCCTGATTAACAACAAAATGTGGTCTGAATAAAAAAAATAAAGATTGAAGAAAAACTAAAAGGCCAGTCTGTATTACTTTACATAATGGTTCCTCTGAAAGTCTAACCTTTTTATGAACTCTATTATTGCATTACGTCAATGTAATTCTCCATAAATACAATTTAGCTCATTTTGAATTTCACTATAAAGCTTGTCAAGTGGATTTTAACAGGACTTTAAAATATTAAAATCATAAAAAATATTATTTTATAGAAAAAAATTGAAGCCTGAATTAAATGTGGAACGCATGCTATTATATTGTTATCAACACTGGTAAATCATCATGAATGGGCATTGACATTGTTTACAGAGAGCACTGATGCATACCTTTAAAGTTTGTCATCGTTTACTCTTCGTCTCAAACCTGTTTGAGTTTCATTCTTCTGTTCATAATAGTCCGCCGTGATTGAATCAAGCTTTTTCTTGTGAATTAAGGCACAGAAACGCTAAAAACCAACCCCGGGATTTCTCTTGAATGCAGTGATGTTTTATTGCTGTTATTTTTCAATAACGAAAAACCTCAAATTTACCTCACGACCATGACGTTTCTTCAAACGTTTTTTTTTTTAAACAGGAAGAACAAATTTGCTCTAAACAACTAAAAACAACCATTTTTACCTCAACATATGTGTTTTTACCACATATATCAGCAAAAAAACATGCTTTTTCATGACGCTTAAAGGTTCGACTAAAACTGAAAATTCTGTAATTTTCTTACAGCAATCTGTTTGGGTTTCCTTCTTCTGTTGACCATAAAATAAATTCATAATAGTCTGCCGTGATTGAATCAAACAGGCTCTTTTTCCTGAAATAATGTATATTGAGTTTCTATAGAAACTCAAAATAATGTTTCTTAAAGCTTATGACTTTTTTCTTCATGATAGTGACGTTTTTTCCCTCAGTTTCTTACCTTTTGTTTTTGTATTTTATCTTCAATGCAGTGATGTTGTATTCATTTTATCTGTTTTGTATTCAATTATAATACAAAAAAGGCATTTACCTCACAGCCGTGACATTTCTTTAAAAACCTTTCTTTTTCGGAATAACAAATTTAGTCTAAAGTAGCTAAACAACACAAAAATATCCAATTTTAACTTGATAATGAATAGGGTTATATGTCTCCTAGTAGGCCTAGTGCTTTTAGCAACGTGGTGCCACAAATATCTGTCGACATCTGAAAACAAAAAGTGTTTTAGGGTTTCTTGACGCTTAAAGGGACAGTTCGACTAAAACGAAAAATATGCCATTTTCCTGTCACAAACTAAATCAAATCAAATTACAAAACCTTTCACTGGGGTGGTACCTTTTCAAAAGATACACGTACCTTACAGGGGCACATATGTAGCCTACTTTAAAGGGACAACTTAATACCTAAAAATACAACTGTGCACCTTAAAGTACTATCAAAAAACAAAAGTGTACCCTAAATGTATGAAACTGTACCCTTTGAAAAGGTACCACCCCAGTAACAGGTTTTGTACCTGACAGTGTGTTTTAATTACTTCTGTTGAACATAAAATAAGTTCATAATAGTTTGGGATGATTGGACCGAACTGGCTCTTTCTAGTGAATTAATGCAAACGCTGAACACCCTTTGACATCAAAATAATGCATTTTTAAAGGCTTATGATGACCTTTTTCTTAATGATTGAGGCTTTGTAGTTTGTAATCTCAGAGTTCTCAGAGGAAACCCATGCCAACACGAGGAAAACATGCAAACTCCACACAGAAATGCCGACTGACCCAGCCGGGATTTGAACCAGCAACCTTCTTGCTGACAGCTGACAGTGTTAAACACAAAGCCACCATTTTGATTTCTTCAAAAGCTTTTTTTTTTTAAACTGGAAGAACAAATTTGCAATAAACAACGCAAAAATAACCAATTTCATGTCTGTCAACATCTCCAAAAATGTGTTTTAGAGTTTGATGACGCTTAAAGGGACAGTTTGACAAAAACCGAAATGTCAGTCATCATTTTCCTATCACAAACCTGTTTGAGTTTCTTTCCTCTGTTGAATGTAAAAAGTTTATAATAGTGTCCTGTGCTGTGATTGGATTGAATGAGAATTTTCTCCTGAATTATTGATTTATCTTTTTATTAAATACAAGAAATAAAACATCACTGCATTGAAGAGAACATACAATACAATACAATACATACAATAACAAAAGTTAGGAAAGAGAAACAGAGAGCTTCCAAAACGAAGATAGGGAATGAAGTTTAGGCAGGATATTTAGAGTAGTTTTGGAAGGATCCGACAGGCTACAGTGTAAAAAAAAACTGGTATTTTATTTTTATCTGGCAAAAAAACGTAAAATAACGGCTGTTAAATTACAGATATTTACCGTAAAACAACAGACAGTAAATTACAGACATATACTTAAATTAAAATTTCTAGTAAGTTTCTGTAAAGCTGTCTGT